TTCGCCAAGTTCCCGTCTCGCCGTCTGTGCAGGCGCCCGGGTCGGAAAACTGTACGCCGTGGGCGTGGTCGCGCCGGGATGGGCGTGTCGCGGCTCCGGGGATGGTATCCCGAATTTGATTGCGCGATATTGTGGATTTGAGAAGCAACGTGATGTGTGTGCCAGATGTACAATGTGCGTGACCCCGATGGATACCCCGGGGCCCTTCTTGCTGACGCGGGGCAGGCCTACGAGGAGATCCCCATCGAGGTGCTCTGGAAGTCCTGACATCGTTTCTATCTAAGTGTGCGTCTCAAGGGGCTTTCGCGATCCGTCGCGGTCGTCGTAGCCGCGCATTCATTGGGGGGTCTATCAATGCCAGGCTTTCGGGCCGCAGCATCATTATGTTTCGAAGCCTTAAGCGTGCGCTTGCGGGTTTTCTTGAGATGAGATATTGCGGGGTCTTCAATGTCAAGGCTTTCCGATCGGAGGCCCAAGGAGCGTGGCCGTCTTACTCGCTGTCTTCTCAGAACTTGATTGGTTTTGCGACGAGGCCGCTCCTCGGAACCGCCAGCGGATAGCAGGGGGTCGACTTGTGGACGACCTTTTTGGCCTCGCGCTTAGTCTGCCAGGTGTGTCTGAAGTAACATGTTGAACGTGTGTATGGTAAGGTGGTGGAGTTCAACTGCGAGGATGAAAAAACGGGTGGGGGCCCTAACGGTTGCTCTGAAGTTCTTGGAGGCCGAAGTACACGTGGATTTTGATAAGATTGCGGTGCTGCTGATCCACAACTATGGAACGTTTGCGTTCGCAGGTGACCCCTCCAAGATCGTCAAACAGTCGGTGTGCCCTACCCTGGTTACCTTACCTCGCCTCAAATACAACTACATCGTGCTGAGCTGAACGGTAGATTGCGAAGGTGGAACAGGCGTGGCGTATAGGATGTTCATTGGGTCGTATTGTCATGTTCCGACATCATGTTCTACTTGCGACTCGGATATCCCAGACATATGGGCAATCCCTGGCGCGACATTCTTCCTCCTAGCGCGCTACGTGATATAGCGCAACTATGTGTGATTTTGGTGTTTCGCCCGTCGTCCCACCTACTCCCGCGCCGTGGCCGTTTCGCTGCTGTTTTTGATCAGGGTATTTCGGCGATTCAAGTCTCGTCTGAATTGCAGAACTCTTCTTCCAAATCACGAGACATGAGCTGGGGTGGCATGGGCTCGTGCGGCCACCGGGGATTCCACGGGAAGGGTGACCCTCGCCCGCGTGCCCCCTCGGTTTGCTGGCGGTGGCGGAGGCGGCCCGCACTGGCAAGCACCGCCTCAGCAACGCCGGGGGGGCCTGAGTTCAATGGCTCAGGAGATGACTAGCTTCTTGGAAAATGTACGTGCTTTGGGAGAGATGTCGCGCCTCGGGGCCATGTTGTCCAACCAGCAGCTCAACGGCGCCCCTGCGAGCACTCCTGGCGCGACGTCGGGCCCCCCGGCGCAGCCGCCGCCTGCTGGGGCGGTTTCGCAACCAGCCGCGGAGCTCGCCAGTGCCTTGACATAGGTCCTCGAAGGTGACGCTGCTCAGCGCCCCAAGTCAGATGCCCGTGAGCAGCAGACGATCGGTTGTTTGAAGGAGCTGGTTGCAACGTCGCCCCCGTCTTCGTCGAGTAGCTTCGGCGAGCAGCTGGAGCAGTCAGATATGAACAATAAGATGAAGGCATCCTTGGCCTCGGTGTCCGACGCGGTCCAGACCCAAGGTCGTCAGATTGCCGCCCTCCAGACCGCCGTCGAGGAACGGGGCGATTATGCCCGATCGACTCGCACCCTCTTGGAGCAGATGGCTGCGGGAATGTGGATCGCGCCACCGGGGGTTCCTGGGGCCCCGCGGCCACGGGTGGCGGCAGCGGCCGACCCTGCCGCCTCGGGAGCCCACGCGCCTCGCTTGAGCCAGCAGGTGAAAGTGGCGACCCACGCGAAGACTCTCGGCTTCCTCGGCGCGGGCGCTGGTCGCGGTGACGTGACAGCTTTAGCGGGCGCCATCACGAATGCACTCTAGGCGCCCATCCCGTGCGCGGACTGGTGGCGTGAGGTGGCCACGACCAAGGCCTTGCCTCAGCGGCGTACTAAGCTCCAGCATTTGGGCTGTTCCGCTGCTGGTGCCAGCGCGATCAGCCATGCGTTGAAGGTCGGCGAGATGATTTTTCGAGGTTCCTGGAGGATGGCAGTCCCGAGCATGCGAAAGGATGGTCCAAGACGCTCCCAAGCAGCCAAGTTAGCCTTCCGACGGCTCTCGAGGCTCCCAGATAACCTCCAGGATGCCCCAAAAGAGGTCCGAGAGGCGTCCTGGGACGGCCCGAAGAGGCCAACATCATAGATGTTCATCGTTTGTTTCGGATGTTGTTGGCTTCTCGCGTTCTCGAGCTTCCAACGGCCCAAGACGCCGACGAGGCTCCCCAGACCGCCCCAATGCCACCCAAGAGACCTTCAGGACGGCCCCAAGACGGCCCCAAGACGGGCCAAGACGGTCCCAAGACGGGGCCAAGAGCGGGAGCAGGAGGCTTCTAGAGACCTCCGAAAGGCCTCCAGGACCACCCAGAGGCCCCCAACACCCCCCCGATCCTTGAGAGGCCCCAGAAAGACCCCGACGAGGCTCCAAGGATAGCCCAAGAGAACTGCGAGAGTCGTCCCGACCCACAGAGGGTAACATCGTTGATGTCCCAAGGTTTTTCTAATGTTTTTCGACTTCTCACGTTTTCCCGCTTGCAGCCCTCGAATATCGAGGATTTGGGGGACAAAGGCAATTCCCAGAATCCCCCCTTTTTGTCAAAGTGGGACTCCTACTCGGGGGTCCGACACATCCCCTGACATCTGGCTGGTACTGCGCCTCCCAGCTTCCCGGGGGAGACCCCAAGTCGCCGAAGGACAGCACATGACGACCCCAAACAGCCCCCACAACGTAAAGAGCGGCCCGGCACGCTCCCGCGCAGCCCGCGACACCCTTCCGACGGCTCTCCAGGCCTCCAGGAGGCCTCCAGAACCCCAGGTGGTTCGGAAGATCCCACACTCCTGAGGGGCCCGGCTAACAACACCCGCGAGGCACAAACAAAAAACGACGCCGAACAGCGCCGAGGAATGGAACAAACATTGGCATCTCACGTTTTTTTTTTTTTTTTTTTTTTTTTTTTGTTTGTTGTTTTTTTTTCCCCCTCAAATTTGGCCCCTGGTCTACTCTTGCTCAATAGACCACAATTCAGACCCTTACCTCCGCCCCAAAAACCAGGAAACTCTTGAGGGCCTCAAATCGTTGAATACATAGGGTTTGATGATTTCTGTGTTTCCGCGTTCCCCCTTCTATACGATTCCGAGGCTTGCGCAGGGCCTCCAAGGGAGTCCTTGGACGCAAGAAGCGACCACAATGAGATGACATGAGTTTGCCTATCAAGCCTAGCGCGAACTTGAGAGCGCGCGATGGTTCTAGTGAATATGTATGTGTAGCCCATGTCCCCACGCCGCGTGACCTGGGCCGACCGCGCGCCGTGCAGCTGAGCGCGTAACCGCGACGGGAAAACGTTTGTGTGTGGTGTGTGTGTGTGTTTGTGTGTGTGTGTTGTGTGTTGTGTGTGTGTGGTGTGTGTGTGGGTGTGGGTTTGTTTGCGTTTTCGTGTGCACGGTCGTCTGCCTTCTTGTGTGATTGTATGTATGTGTCTGTGTGTGTATGTGTGTGTGTGTGTGTGTGTGTTCGGTTCCTGCCTTGTCCACTGCGCGACTACCGTTTTCGTTTTTAACTTGCTCGCATTTGTTGTCCGCTTAAGCGTTAATCAAATGTGTGGTTGTGCTGTGTGTGTGTGTGCTCCGCCCTGGGCCAGCGACCACGTCGTATCGCGTCCCGGTGGGTTTCTTTTGTCTTTTTCTTTTTATGTTTAATTCTGGAGGAAACGCTTTCATTATGTTCTAGTGGGGGACCTTTAGGGTGTCCTGGGGACAGCTTGGGCGCAATGGCTTACGAAACTTTCTGGAGCCTGTTCGGTGGAGGCATCTTCGGGTTTTTGGTTGGGTCTGGTGCTTTGGGGCTGCCTTGGGCCGTTCTGCTGACTCCTTCTCAGGTCGTCTTGAGGTCGCATTTCAGCTATTTCGGGGCTGCCTCCATTTGTCATTTTTTTTGTCTTGTTGTATGGATCTTGATCCCTTTTGGAGCGGTGTCGGGGCATCAGCTGCCCAAGGACAGTCTTGCGCCCTTTGGAGTTCTCCCAGTGTGGTTTTGGCTATTCTCAAAGGGGTCCCTGAGGAACTCTTGCGAGGAAGGAAGGGGGTGAGCAGGACATCAGCGCAGACATTCTGAAACTCCACCCTGACTTACCGAGGGCCCGGTGGCGGACAGCAGTTGTACACGTGTAAGCTCGGAGGGGAAGCAACACCCTCTGCGAGTCCCCAGACGAAAGCAGTGTCACCTCCATGAGGGCGAGGACGATGTAGAGGAGGGATTCTCCGAAGCGCGGTGTCCAGTGTGTAGACCTTTCAACGACAGCAGTCGGACGGTCGCCCTACCCCTCTCGAGAAGGGGCCGCGGGAGGAGAAACCAGGGCACGCGCGCCTCGGGGATGCTTTCCGTCTTAGGTACGACAGGTTCGCGCCGCATCGGCGCGGCCGCGACCCCAAACGCGGTCGTTTGAGGTTGAATGCCGCCAGCGGACCAGAATTGGCCGATATCGAACGCTGTCTGGCAGCCCCAGTCGTTCAAGGTGGAACGATCCGCGCTGTGTCAGAAACAGGCGCCGATGCGTCACGACACGAAGTCGCCGTAGGGGTCTAGAGTCCACGCCGTGCCCACGATCAGAGGCATTCCAAGCTGTTCAGAAACGTGAGGGTGTGGATCGCATGTGGCTGTGAATCGCGCGTCGCGGGAGCGTTGGATCGCGACGGGGGTTGGGGGCCTCAACGGGCAGTCGGGCGGGGTGGTGTGGGGCTGTGGGGGAGTGCCTCTTGCCTCGCAGCGGCTCCCAATCTTTGCGTCCCGAACTCGCGAAGTGCGAGGAGTCCAGATCCTTCGAGCTTCCGGACGGGAAGATCATCCGGGTGAATCAGCAGATCCGCCTTGGTGCTCCTGAAGGCGCCACGTTTGAAGTCACGGGGCCGCCTCCTTTCTCAGAAGCTTCCGTCATGAGCCAACCGCTCAAGCCAGGAATTTAGTTGGAAAGCAGTTGCGCCTCATGGTCGTCAGCTCGCTCCATCTGACTGCATGTGAAGCTTCTTCCGTTTCGTGCGGACATGCCAACGGTGCTGGATAGGAATTCTCTGATCCGAAGTTCCGAGGTCGCATTGGCCTGAGAATGAGGATGAGGATGAGGATGAGGGGGGGATGATGCTGATGATGATGATGATGAGGATGATGAGGATGATGATGATGAGGATGATGAGGATGATGATGATGATGATGATGCTGAGGATGATGATGATGAGGATGATGATGATGAGGATGATGAGGATGATGATGATGAGGATGATGATGAGGATGATGATAATGATGATGATGATAGTGATGATGATGATGATGATGAGGATGATTATGATGATGATGATGAGGATGATGATGATGATGATGATGATGCTGATTATGATGATGAGGATGATGATGGTGAGGATGATGAGGATGATGATGATGAAGATGATGATGATGATGATGATGATGATGATGATGATGATGATGATGATGATGATGAGGATGATGATGATGAGGATGATGATGACGAGGATGATGAGGCTGATGAGGATCATGATGATGATGAGGATGATGATGCTGATGATGAGGATGATGATGATGATGATGAGGATGATGATGATGATGAGGATGATGGTGGTGGTGGTGGTGGTAGTGCTGATGATGATGCTGATGATGATGATGATGATGATGATGATGATGATGATGATGATGATGATGATGGTTGTGGTGGTGGTGGTGGTAGTGATGATGATGATGATGATGAGATGATAGATGATGATGATGATGATGATGATGATGATGATGATGATGATGATGATGATGATGATGATGATGATGATGATGATGATGATGATGATGATGATGAGGAGGAGGAGGAGGAGGAGGAGGGAGGAGGAGGAGGAGGAGGAGGATGGAAAGAGCGCGTTCTGCGGATGGAGGGGGGGGGGGTCGAACCCCCCCCACCCCCTCCCCTGCTTCTCCTCTCTCCCTCTCCTCGGCTGGCGGAAGCGGCAGCGGGGACGACGATTCCTTTTCTGGGCCGGCGCCGGCGCCTGCGGCGGCGGCGGGGAGCGGCGGCGGGGAGCGTCGACGAGGACGACGGTGGTGGTGGTGGTGGGTTGTGGTGGTGGTGGTGGTGGGTGATGGTGGTGGTGGCGGTGGTGTTGGTTGTGGTGGTGGTGGTGTGGTGGTTTGTTGTGGTGGTGGTGGTTGTGGTGGTGGGTGGAGGTGGTGGTGGTGGCGGGGGTTTGTGGAGGTGGTGCTGGTGGTGGTGGTGGTGGCGGCGGTGGTGGTGTTGTTTTGGTGGTTTGTGGTGGTGGTGGTGGGTTGTGCTGCTGGTAGTGGTGGTGGTTGTGGCGGTGGTGGTGGTTGCGTGGTAGATTGTGGTCATAGTGGTAGCGGTAGTGGTGGTGAGTTTTTGTGGTGGTGGTGATGGTGAGTTGTGGTGGTGGTGGTGGTGGTTGTGGTGGTGGTGGTGGCTGTGGTGGTGGTGGTGGTGGTGGTTGTGTGGTGGGTTTGTGGTGGTGGTGATGGGTTGAGGCGGTCGCGCTCAGTACCATACGCAAGATACCATACGGGGGCAGAGTGGAGCGGAGCGTGTTCTGTTGCGGAACTCAAGTGCCCTTCTACGGTGACTTCCATTGTAGACAGTTGCAGACCAGCCCTCGATCGCATCTCTATCATCTCAGTTTTGCTCAGGACTTTCGGCGGTCACCCAGCCGTAATCCGATCGAAATCTTCTTTGCGCGCCTTGCTCAAAACTCACGAGCCCCTGCAGGGCTCGCCTGGGGAACACAGCTGCTGTAGGGAGGAGGGAGGGAGGAAGACCGGGACAACGCGCCTGGGCGGCGTGTCAGAGGTGCCCGCCAGGCACGCGGCGTGCCAGTTGACGGATGGCCGAACTCGCGCGCCATTTGGCCAGGCCAGGCTGTGCGCCAGCGCGTGTCGTTGGCGCCGTGGGTCTGGGGGCCGGGCCAGGTCAGCCCGTCGGGGTCGCTGGCGCTGGAGCCTCCGTTGGCTAGGGGCCTGCGGGCGCGCCGTGCGCTCGGCATCGCCAGGGCACAGGAGCAAGGGGCAGGTCGGAGAGGCTGCCGCGTCTCCTCCCTCCCCACCTTCGGCCCTTCCTCCACGTCCCCAGACGTCCGACATCGTGATGTTCGTTCGCAGCGAGGCTCCGCAGAGGTCTGGGCCCCTTCCCGGGGCCGGCTTCTCATCTTGAGTTGCCGTTCTAGGGCCCCCCGAGGTCGCGAACGGCCAAGAACAGTCCGTCATGATTTTGTCACGACGCGAGGATGTCATGGATGCCAGGAGGTCTCCCTTCCTGTCCTGGCCCTCCGTCCTGGCCGAAACATGTGCGGCCCCAGTGCTATTCGGCGGCGGCGACCCGAATGCGCCCACCGTGCAGAAGATCTGCATGGAGGCGAGTGCGCTGCCGTGCACGAGGAGCAGGAGTGGCAGTGAAGAGGGGAGAGGCGATGAGGGAGGGGATGGGAGGCACAATGATTATAAAGTCGCCATGAAGGCAAGGGGTCCTGAGGGAAACGGGCCCTGGAGGTTTCTGGCCGTTTTGGGGATTCCTGGGCTCTCCACAGTCCTCGGGACCGTCACACAACGACTCGGGATGAAGTTTTGGCTCTGGCGGAAGGCCCTAGGGCCCAGGACCCGCTTCCCTCAGGACAAAGTTCTTTCACGCAGATGAAGGAACCAGGGCGTGCTCAGGTTATTGGCAATTCTTCAGTTTGGCCCCTGGATCTTTCTCAGCAGGGGTGACCATCGGACCCGCCCGTTGGCCAAACTCAGCCTAACTCAGTGGGTGAGAAGGGTGTTGCAAGCTGCGCCATACCCGTTGATGAGTAGACGCCTTGCGCAGTTTTCTCTCAGCACCAGCGATGGGCATGCGTCGTGCCTAGATTTTTTAGGCCTGTGGGAGCGACGAAAGCGACGGTGATGGTGAGCGATGCGTTGTGGCCTTGACTATTGTGGCGATCCTGAGGGTGATGGCGACCTTCACGATGGCATGGTACTGGTGGTGACGCCGGCAGGGAGAGCGTGGCTGCGGGCAGCCCTTGAAAGGTACTTATGATGTGCCCGCGGGCAGCCCAAGAAAGGTACTCACGATATTCCTTCGGGCAGCCGAGGAAAGATACCTACGAGGCACCTGCGGGCAGCCCAGGAAAAGTACTTTGGGAGGCACTTGCGGGCAGCCCAGGAACGTTGCTTGGGAGGTACCTCAGGGCAGCCCAGGAAAGGTGCTTGGGAGGGTACCTGCGGACAGCTCAAGAAAGATGCTTACGAGGTGCCTGCAGGCAGACCAGGAAAGACACCTAGGAGGCACCCAGACCTCAGACATATTCGCGACTCCTCTGCCCCGGGGCCGGCTCTGCTCCCGAGTCTTTGCTTGGGCGGTCCCGGGCCCCGCAAATGGCCACGGGGGGCCAACAGCGTAGAAAAGCCTCAGGCTCGATTTTGTGAAGGCCTAGCGACTGGTGCCGCCGACCCTGAAAGACGACGACGACGATGACGACGACGACGATGACGTTTTCTGACGGTCCCAGGCCGCCACAACGGCCTCGGGAGGCCGACAACGTAGAAAAGTTGCAGTCTCGGAATTCTCGAGTCTCTCGGCCCGCACGGCTGTGGTCTTGGGTCGCGGGTTTTGCTGGGCGTCGAAGGATGGGGAGCCAGCGAATGTGGAGGAGGAGGAGGAGGGAGGAGGAGGAGACGATGACGATGACGATGACAATGATGATAATACGATGATGATGATGTTGATGTTGATGATGACGATACTGATGATGATACTGCTGATGATGTTGTTGATGATGATGATGACGATACTAGTGATGATGTTGATCTGACAATACTGATGATGATGATGATGCAGATGCTGATGATTATTATGATGTTTATGGTAGTGACTTGGATGATGATGATGATGATGATGATGATGATGGTGATGGTGGTGCTGATGCTGATTATGGTGATGATGATGCTGATGGTGATGATGAGTATGGTTCTGATGGTAATACCTAGGATGGTGATGGTGATGATGCTGATAATGATGATGCTGATGGTGTTAATGATGCTGATGATGATTATGATGATGATGACGATTGTGGTGGTGGTGGTGACGATAATGCTGCTGCTGATGATGATGATGCTGATGATGATGATGCTGATGATGCTGATGATGATGATGATGATGATGATGATGATGATGATGATGATGATGATGATGATGATTGGTGATGCTGATGGTGATGATGGTGGTGGTGGTGATGATGCTGATGATGATAATGATGATGCTGCTGCTGCTGATGATGATGATGATGATGATGATGATGACGACGGTGGGGGTGGTGGTGATGATGACGATGATTCGGATAACGTTGACGACCAGTAAGAAGAATCTGGCTCTGCCTCGCTCTACCCATCAAAGAGCGATGGCAGGCGGTCGCGCATTCGCACGAGCGAGGCCCCGCCCCTTCCCCCTGCTCCCGCTGCTGCTGCTGCTGCTGCTGCTGCTTCCATTGCGCTACACTACTGGCGGGCTGCCCTCTGGAGGCACTCCATGGAAGGGGGGCCCAAAACATTGCTCCTTCCCTTCTCAGGCCGTGGATGCTGCCCCTTCAACATCCGGCTCCAGTGGTGCTGCTGGACATCCGACGAGAAACTTCCATGGCAACTCCTAGCCAAGCAGCACATCCGAGGTAGACGGCTTCCTCATCAGCTAGGAAAAGAAACATTAAGAGTCTGTGCCTCCTAGGCTCTCGAACTAACATGACAGTGGACTGTGGCCTGGGCAGGCGAGCCTGCTCTTGAGAGCCTTGGTGTTGTCCTTGCACGCCCACGCCCGGCAACCGGCACACACCCATGTAGTCTGCCTCCAAAACCAGGCGTGGGCGAGAAACTCCTGTCCCCTTCCCTCCCGGGGGAGAGGAATACGACGACCGCGAGGCTCCGGCGGAAGATCAGGAAGAGGAAAACAAGTTGTGGAGATGGGGCTGCTGCCGAGAGAATGGCGGTCTCCCCCTCCTTGACAGGCTGCGCCACGATCTCTCGAGCAGCCTGCACATTTCTCTCTGGATCTTAGCCCTGGGCCTCGGGCCCCTCTTACACGTGTGTTTGCTAGCGCGTGTTGTTGCTGGCTGGGGCCACAAGGTGAGGGCTTTACCTACATACGCCAAGAAAACGGTCAGCAATCTGGTTTCCCGTTCGAAATCGTCCACTTCCGCATTGGCAGGGCGGCAATGCATTTGGGCCCCCTGTTTGGCCCATCTGTCGGCATGGGAATTCCCGAGAGCTCTAAAGTGCTCGTCCGTGCCGGCGCACAAACAGCCTACGTCTTGGTGGCCTTTCATTTTGCTGACGTGGCAGGTCGGAGTCCACGTTGGGCCTCCAAGAATGAGTTTGCTGAGGCCTGCGCAGCGCGACTTCCTGTCCAGCGCGACGCACGCAGGGCCATCGAGACTAAGGGCCCCCACGAAATCAGTGACGAATTCGCGGTCTCCGGACCCCTTCAAAGCAGCAGCGCACAATGCGATGCATTCAGCTACTGGGGATGTCTGCGGGAAGGCGGCCCCAACTGGTCCATAGAGAGCTGCGTAAGGCTCCCCGTTATTTTGGAGGCGAACAACCGCCCATCCAGCATGATGAAAATGTTCGGCCCCTGACTTGAAGCACGATCCGTCTGTGAACAGTCTGCTTCGGCGGCCCTGCTCTACAGAGACGTCTTGGATCGGCGCACCAAAAATTTGCAGCTTCCACTCCGGAGAACTTTGGGGGGCACAGTTCAACATTGGGCGCCAGTTGAAAACCCGCCAGAAAAGGATGGCGGTTCCTTACATACCGCTCGATCTCCTCCTTTTGATACGGCGTGAACATCGAATCCCGGAGCGGCTGAGACAGTGGACACTCGCACAACCGATGCACCATGTCATCACTGCGATGCCCGCATGGGCAGAAATGCTGGGTGACAACGTTCCGGCTTGAGCAAGCTTGGCATTAGTCCACAGCCCCTGGGTCAGATATCCCAGGAGACATCCTTTCTCCCCAGAGCTCAGAGGGGAACAGTCCTTAGACCCCGCCCAGTGCTCAGCACAGACAAAGCCACGTCTACATCAAGCACGTCTTAATTGAAGCCTAGTTTCCTAGCCGCTTCTCGCTGCGCTCTGTCTCTCCACGAACGCTGGAATAGGGGGGAAAGCAAAGAAGGCGAGGTGGAGGTAAGACAATGAGTGTCGCCCCTAGGGTCCCTGATGACAAAAGGGGTCTCGAATTTCCAACCGATCCTAGCTAATGACAGCATCGCAGCTCCAAAAGGACCACGTACTGAGCACCACTTCTGGGGAGGGTTCCTCAACACCACAGACGCCAAACTACAAAGCCTTGGAAGACCTCCCGAAAAGTGCGGGCTGGTGGGCGCACGCGCTGCCTTCCAGACAACGGTGGCGTACGTGAGGGCTGGGGCCAGCGCGGCCCTCCAGAGCGGGTCCTGGAGGAGGATGAGGGCGAGGGTGCGAGACCGAGTCCGAGCTTTGGGCCCTCTCACTCTTAGGAACTCACCCTCCAGCCTGTTCAATTCGAGAGTGTCCGATCCCGTGACGTCTACTCCAAAAGTGAGCGCTTGCTGAAGCCCCGTGCGAAACAATTTTTGAAAGTGGCGACGCCAGCGCGGCGCAAGCTGCCAATCCTACGACGCCGCTTCTTAAACCTATTAAGTCTAGCTTGCAACGTGGGCCGGGTCTTGCCCCTCGGGCGTGGCCAGCTCAGAAGTTTATTCCTAAGTTGGCAGCCGCTGTGCATGCCGACCCATCCAGCGCCCCGAACTTGTCGACCACCGACTTAAGGGTAGAGGGTTTGCTGGCAACTATGGCGGCATTGTGTAATGCGACGCTACATTTCAACTCCTTCTCAATGAGATCTACTATTGCTTCCCCTGCCTTTGCGAGTTCCTTCGCGACGGTCTCGTCGTTGCCAGGTACGTTGAGAAGATACACGTCGTCAATGAACATCTTGAAATGCACGTTTTGGAACTTGGGCTGGAAGCTGGCCAGCCCGCACCCCGCGGCGATCCCCGACGATGCGAAACCCACTATGATCGTCCCCCCCTGCATCGAGACAAACCGGAACCCATTGTACTGGTTGATGCCTACGCTCAGGATTCTGGCTGGGGAACTGCAACTTTTCAGCTCTCGAGGTCCCACAGAACCGCTGTAGCCCTGAGGGGGTTTTCGTGCAAGGAGGCTGCTTCACACATCAAGGCCTGCTGGAAAACCAAGTCCAGATTGGACGGCCCCCTCTGATGTACCATAAAACTATATTACTGCAGACTCTCCCAATGTTTGGAGGACAGGCTGGCGAACGCGGGTCCATAGTCTATACAGGCTGGAGCACTTCCCAATCCCACGGAAGACGGCACCAACTTTTTCGTTTAGTTTATTCTTCGGGATGCACACATTGACGACCCCTCTGATGCAAGTAGGCCTGGCCCCGTGCCTCTCAACGGCATTGAGGAAAGCGGTAACTGTTTCAAGCCTTTCTGGGGGCAGCAGCTAGTGGTGGCGAGGGTGTAATCCATCCCTCGTTTGCGCCGTGGCTGCCGGGAAGGACCTGGATGTTTTCGCCACCATTTCCCCCATGATTGGGGGAGGGCAGCGGAGAGGTAGGCGGGCAAGTACTGCTGGTGCTCTGACGGTTGGACGTCCCATAGGTCTCCCGGGCGATCGGCCTCCTGGCCCAGCTGGCAGGGTCTGCCGCTCCACTTGCTATCGGCGGCAGGGGTCTGCGGGTGATTAGGATGAGGAGGTGGATGAGGAGCGTGAGGAGGGTGAGGATAATGAGCAGGAGGATGGGGATGCGGATGCGAACGGTGATGAGGTTCATGCATGTAATGATGAGGTTGATCAGCAGCATGAAGGAGCTTATGATGCTGATGATGATTGTGCTCACGATGACGATGCTGTCGATGGTGGTGGTGATGACGAGGATGAGGATGAGGATGATGATGACGATGATGCCGGTGAGGACGATGAGGATGGCGCTGATGTTGTTGATGATGTTGATGATGCTTATGCTGATGCCGGCGATGATGGCTGCCGTTGATTGTGATGGTGCCGATGATGTTGCTTCCGATGATGTGGATTGATGATGTGGACGATTATGATGACGATGTAGTTGATGCTGATGGTGATGACGATGCTCATGATGATGATCATGCTGATGATGATGATGCTGATGCTGATGGTGATGGTGATTATGATGATGCTGATGATGCTGGTGATGCTGATGATGGTGGCGATGCTGCTGCTCATGAAATGATGACGATGGTTATGATGATGCTGCTGATGATGATGATCATGATGCCGATGCTGATGATGACGATGCTGACGATGATGATGATGCTGATGATGATGATTATGATGATGCTGCTGATGATGATACTGCTGATGATGCTGGTGATGCTGATGCTGATGATGATGATGATGCTGATGATGATGATTCTGCTGCTGCTGCTGCTGCTGCTGATGATGATGATGATGATGATGATGATGATGATGATGATGATGATGATGATGATGACGTGGACGAGGATGAGGGGTATGACGAGGCTGCGCATGATGAGCATGATGAGGATCATGTCGTCGAGGTTGATGATGATGATGGCTCTGTTCTTGATGATGGCAGTGATATTGAGGATGCTGATAATGATGATGAGGAAGAGGAGTACAATGTGGATGGGGGGGGATGAACAAACGCTCGCGCCAGGAATTTAGTTGGACCGCAACTGCGCCCCATGGTCGCCAATTCGCACCATTTTGCTGCACGTGGAGCTACATCTGGTTCGTGCGGATATGCCAGCGGTGCTTGATAGGAAGCCCATGGTCCGCAGTTGGGAGTTCGCATTGGCCTGAGACGGTCTGGGTGCGATCAGGATGAGAACTAAGATGATGTTGCGGACGATGATGTTGTGGTTGGTAACGATGCTGCTGCTGCTGACGATGATAAGGATGCTGCTGATGACGATGATGATAATTCTGATGATGATGATTCTGATGATGACGAGGATGCTGCTGCTAATGACGACGATGGGGATTCTGATGGTGGTTGTGGTGATGACGATGGTGATGATGATAATGGTGCTGCTGATGATGCTGCTGGTGTTTATGACGATGAATCTGATGAGGCTGATGCTGATTCTGATGATGATGATGATGATGATGATGCTACGGATGATGATTATAATGATTATGCGGCTGCTGATGGTGATTACGATGCTGATGATAAGTATGACGCGGATGATGATGATGATGATGATGATGCTGATGATGATGATGATGATGATGATGATGATGTTGATGATGACGATGATGATGATAATGCTGTTGCTGCTGCTGATGATTATGGTGGTGATGCGGATGCTGCTGCTGATGATGCTACTGATGATTATGCTGCTGATACTGATGCTGATGCTGATGCTGATGATGATGATGATGCGGATGATGATGCTGATGATGATGCTGCTGATGATGATGATGATGATGATGCTGCCGGTGCTGATGTTGATGCTGATGAGGATGATGGTGTTGGTGGTGGTGGCGATGCTGATGCTGATCATGCGGCTGATGTTGCTGTTGCTGCTGCTGATGATGATGATGATGCTGATGATGAAGGGGACTCATGATGCTGCTTCTGCTCCTGCTGCTGCTGCTGATGATGATGATGATGGTGCGGAGGAGGAGGAGGAGGAGGAGGAGGAGGAGGAGGAGGAGGAGGAGGAGGAGGAGGAGGAGGAGGAGGAGGAGTACGAGGAGGAGGACCATGGTGGCTGCAGGCTGCCGATGAGGAGGAGGGGCGGTGGCCGCATGCGCGAGCCTGGGAGGCGATTAACACCTGCGACCTGGACTTCCGCCAGGACGGCCTTCTTGCTGTGGCCGCACAGATATCCTTACGGGGGAGGGTAAATGGAGTGAGGGCTCCCCTTCTTGCACTTTGGCGGACGCCCCTGCATGTTGTTCTTCCCGCCCGCCCCATCCTCCTCCTCCTCCTCGGCCTTTGTGTCCCAGGGGGTGCAGCGGCCTCCTCCTCTGCCTCCTCCACCTTGTCTTCCTGTTTCTCCTGTCAGGGGTGCCGGGCTTGCCGTTGTTTGCATGGTCAATGGTGGAGAGTTTGCCATTGCCATGTTCAGCGGCCGCGTCGGAGCCTTGGGATCCCAAGCCTCTGGTGCTGCCGAACACCTTGCCGCTGTTGCGGCTGGGCACCTATCGCCCAGAATCGATAAGACATACTCGGATTACAACGTGGTCCTGCAGCTGCATGGCAGCGCAGGGCACACGCGCAAGAACAGACTGGCTGGTTTCAAAGTCCTCGCGGGCAGAGGTTGCTGTAGCTTTGGCCCCAGGCTCCAGAAAGTCGAGGCCCACCAGAACCTTGACGCCCTAGCCCCACATAGTGATGAATACCGCCTAGCGCGCAGCAGTGATGCCGCTGACAGACTAGCCAAGGCCGCCTCGAAGTTTGGCTGCCAACCCAGTCTGCCAGTCTCGCCGAGGCAGAGCAGTATCAAAGCGGCACTGCTCTGCTTAAGAAGTGCCTCACATACGCTGCCAAAGCCCTCGGGAAGTGGCCCGCGATAGCCCCGCGTAGGAACGAGGCGCTGGCCAGGCCCGTCAAGAGCCTCTCCCCTCCCTTGGGGGCTGCCTCGGCTTTGGCCTCCTGGGACCCTGGGGCCCCGCCGCCTCCCCCTCCTTCTCCCCCGCTTCCTGTGGGCCCTCGAGTGATCCCGAGGGCCCATGTCTGGACGTTCATCAAGGGCAAGCGCCGATGCACGATCTGCCGCATCCGTGCCCGCTCGGCCAAAGCTATGGGGGAGCGGCATAGGGCCATAGCTTGCCCTGGACACTGCCCTCAGATGTCCAGCCTAGCCTCCAACCCTCGGGGGCACAACATCTATTAGTATGCATACCTAGAGCAGCCCACGAGCATTTTAATATGCCACGCGTGCGGTTCTCTCAAGGAAGACAACTCGAGAGGTCTCTCGGGCAACTGCCGTCTAAGGCCGCCCCACAACGGGGCTCAGCTACAGGTGCAGCGGGCGCAGTCGGGCCGCCACTCCAATAGTTCCGCGGCCAGCCCGATCGTGCTAAGCCTCCCCCAAGTGACGCTGGCGCAGCTGCTCCGAGAAGCTGCCCAAGCCAGGCAGGAGGAGGCCGCCTCACCATATTGTCCTCGTAGGCTCGTTTAGGTCCTCATCGATTTCGGTCTCTTGTTTTATGGTGCTTGGGTCTGGATCGGGCTCCCGCTGAGAGCCTCTGGCCCCTAGCCTTGTGGGACGAGACTAGGCTTCAGGTCAAGTTTGAGGTCGGCTCGAGACGATCCTCGTGCCCTTTGTTTCTAGAATGGCCCACACCTGGGGCGAGGCCTGGCGCCGTCCTTGTGTTCTCTACACGAGGGGCGTTCGCCTCGTCGTCCTGGCGTCGCTATGTGATTGTTTCGTGGCCTGCGGCCTCGCTTGAAGTCGGCTCAAGGAGACCCTTGCGTCCTCTGTTTCTGGACTGGCCCGCGCCAGTGGCGAGGCCTGCCGCCGTCCTGGCGTTTTCTGCACCAGGGGTCGGCGGTGCTCCGTCGTCTTGGCGTCGCCTTGCGATTGTTGGCGCGCGTGCGTGTGCGTGCGCGCGGTCCGTCTGCACGTGTGTCAGGCACCCCGCTTCAGGGAAAAAGGTGCACACTCCCGCGAAAGGGCCCTTCATCGCCCTCGTTTGTTTCAGCACCGGCAGTGTCCTGCTGTCTCTGCCGCCCATCGGTTCATCCTCGGCCGCAGTGGATACGATCGGTGGCTCAGCGCCACGAGGTTTCGGGTTAGGGTCTGGGTTGGCCAACCCTTAGCCTCCCTCCTCGGCCAAGTGCTGGTCCTCCTGTCAGGGGTGGCGCGGGCCAGCGCTGGGCCCCGAAGGCGGTCCAAGTTCTGCGCGCTGGGGGCTTGTGCCAGCCTGGCGCGGGCCCGATCGAGTGTTTTGTTTTGCCTTCTTTGCAGGGCAGCTGGACAAAATGGCTGGGGCCAGCCCTACCCTTACACTTTCCTCTTTTACGCATTTTTGCGCCTCCCAGGAGGCCCTTGTCGCCACATCTGGATTCGCCGCGAAATTCTGGTCCGAACGCACCCGAGGAGAGGTCCGGGGAGTAGCGGCATCGAATTTTTTTTGTCCTCCCCTTTCCAGCCTTGGCCATTTACCATCCAGTTTTTCAACCCTGTCGACCTCATTTCACTTGCTTCGGGCTCGTCTCGACCCTTGCCAGTTTTTCCAGCCCTGGCCATTCACGTCACTGATTTTCCAGCTTCGGTCTTCTTTCCCGGCTTTTCTCTGTAATTCTTGACGCTTCGCGTATCCCCTCCATCACAGCTTGCGTGTCTCTCGGACGCTTCTGCTTGAGCATGGTTCAGACACCCTGGGACCCTTTGGTACGCCATCTCCGCGCCGACGTTGGCAGACTCCCTACTGTTCAGATAGTGTCTCAAGCGGCGTACTGCTTGGCCATGGCCTCAGACACTTTGGGGGTATTTGCATCGCGCCATTTTGGCAGCGTAGTTACAGACTCTCTGGGTGCTGGTCCCTGGGCGTCAGACACCCTGGGTTGCAGCACCCTTGCACCCGCCGCCCCGGCGCCGGCCGCGGCCCGCGCGCGCGTCCGGCCAATTAGTTTCGGCCGCAGCCCGACCGTTATTCGCCGCCGCTGGCGCTTCCGTCCGCGGTTGTAAAAAAATAATATCCCCTCCATCGAGCGCGGCCCGCCGTAGCACGGTCAACGTTCGACTCGTCTTCGCGCGCCCGCGGACCAAAAATCCCCACCATCCTGTTTTTTCCGTTCGTCACGGCGCGGCCCGCCCTGGCTTCTTCGGCGTTCGATTTGGCTTCGCGTGCTCGCATGCCAAAATATATTCCCACCAGCCCATCCAGCAACGATGCCCAGGCGAGTTGCATTGATCGGGTAAGTGTAGAATCGCGCAGTGGAGCGCAGATGGGGGACAGCCTTTGAATCGTGGATCAGGATCAGCTCGAGCAGGCCCAGGAGCCAACCATGAATGCCTTCGCGTATCCTTTGAAGTGGGAGTTTGTTGGCAGCGTACATGGGCCATGTTTGGGTTTTGGAATTCCACACGCTTCGCGTAACCCCAACAACCAGGGGTCGGCTGACTTCGACACCCCCCGCCGTGCGGTTCGTCCCCGACAGTCCCCATGAGGGGTCGTCTTGCCTTCCTTGGTGGCGTGCGCCAGTTTGCACCGGCGTGCGACGCGGCCGCCATTTGCATCCGCGGCACCATGGTCTTGGCGTTGGATTTCGTGGTGAAGTCTGCCAGTGGCTTCCAACTCCCGCACGCTCGAGATGTCGTACAATCTGAATTCTGCCATTTTGGTGTTGCAGCTCGCCTGGAAGGCCTTCGTGGTCGATGGCGCCCTCCTTTGAGCGACAGCGAGGCCCGCCTCGTGTTTGTTTCCCCCCCAGCCGTCCTCCCTCTGTCTCTCCCCCCCCCCGTTGCGCGTAATTCAGGCCGCCGTTTTGTTTGTTGCGCCCTTGGACGCCGCCCGACTGTTTTCGGCGTGGCCGCGATCAAAAAAATAATCCCGCCAGCCCATCCAGAAACGATGCCCAGAGGAATTGCCTCCATCAGGGAACCGGGCAGCACACGGAAGAAAAAGGTCCCCCAGTGGAGGCCTGTTGGGGCGTTTGGGGGGCCTCTTGGCGGTCCCGGGCGCCTCTCAAAATTTCTTGGGTGCCTCGGGAAGCTTCTTGGGGCCTCTCGGGGGTCTGTTGGGAGCCTTTTGGAGGCCTCTTGGGCGCCTGTTGGGGCCTCCTGGGCGCTCTTGGGGCGCTCTCGGGGCGCTCTTGGGCGCTCTTGGGGCCGTCTTGGGGTTCTCTTGAGTTTCTCTTGGAGCCTTGAGGCCTCGGATGGCCATCGGAAGCGAAAAGGCGAGAAAACCAACAAGATGCATGTCCTCAGGGTTTTGGAAGGATGTTGGCTTCTTCGGGGCTCCTGGGGGAGCTCTTTGGCCACTTGGAGCCGTCGTCGAGCGGTCTGTTGGAGCATCGCGGGGACCATCGTGAGGCATCTAGGGATATCTTGAGCCATCTTGGAGGTGTCTTGGGCTCTTCCCAGGCACCCTTGGTGTTATCTTAATCAATGCCCCCCCCACCCGGGAGGCAAACATGTGGTCAAAACTTTAGTATCATCAGTGCTTTTAGCATTCTCGCCGAGGCCTCTCGGAGTTTTTTTGGTGTTTCGGGGGGCCTTTGGGGGCCTCTTCGGGGTCTCTGTGGAGGTTCTTGGGGGCATCCTGGGGGCCTCTTTGGGCCTCCTGGCCACCTTGGGGCCCTCTTGGGGCACCCTTGGGAGCCTTGGGAGCGTTCTTGGGGCCATGTCGGAGGAGATCGATCAAAGAAGGGGGGTCCCTAGTTAGCCCCCCTCCCATCCAGAAGGCCAACATGGGGCCACAACCTTAGTAACACCAGTAATTTTGGCTTCCTCGCCGAGGCCGTTTTGGACGCTCCAACTACCCGCGAAACCCTTTTGTCCAGGTTCAGGGGAGGGGACACGGGGAGGGGGGGAACCCCTCCCAGAAGGGGAAGAGGGAGGGAGGGGATGGAATAGGACCCCCCCTAAACCATCTTACGCCTTAGAGGCCTCTGGCCAGAGCCGCCGATCCGGGGTGCTACCGATTCTGCTTGCAACGGAGGACCTTTTATGTTTAAAAGCAGAACAGTCGCTCGAGGCATCCTCATCATATACAGATGTCGAACTCGCTTGGGGAACCGTCGGGTATTCGAAAGTGACGATCTCGCGTGAACAGCCAAATTCATGGGATGTCCTCTCCCGACTTCTGGGCCTGAATGGCGTCAGCCATGGCGTCAGCCCCCGCC